CCTGTTAAACAAGTGACTCATCAAACACGATTACACTCGTGTCAGGGATGGTGCTTGTGACTTCCAGCTCTGACAAGAGAGCTGACCTTTCAGGAGGAAAAAAAAAATCAGAAAAACCCCAGGGAAACAGCTCAAAACCGGGTGGGAAGGTGCAGTTCTGGGTCTCATCCTCCCCATCCATCCTGCTGCTTTCATCTCCTCCAAACTTTTCCAATTCGGCAGTTTTAAAGAATTTGGAGGGTTTTCCCTGTTGCTGCTTTCCCCATTCCCTCTTCCAGGTGCCTTTTTGCCATGAATTCACCCGTGGGGGTCTGGGGGGAGGATGTTTCTCAGCCAAGCCAGGGGGAGAGGCCCAGCACAGCTCTGGGTGAAGCCCCCAGGGCAGAGGGAATTCCTGTGGGACCGGAGAACCTCCCAGCCCGGAGGATGGAGAAGGCACCTTCCCAGGATGTTCAGCAGCTCTCCACTCTGGCTGGGTGTTCACACTCCTGGAAATGGCTCTTTTATCCTGGAGGAATCCCCAAGTGCTGAGACAGCTCTGGACAGTGGTGCTGAAGGAGAAATTGCAATGCCCAGAGAGGGAAAAAACTTCCACCCCCCAAAAATCCAGGTGGGTATGGCTCAGGCTGAGGCTTGGTTGCTGGCAAGCCCCACTCATGGCTCTCTTTAAGTAAACAGATTTTTTTTCCAAGCCAATCACTTGCTTTATACAAATGATTAGACTCCCAGCCAGCAGCTGTGGCCTTTTCTGGGTGATGTCCTAACCCACCCAATCTTGGAGAGCAGGGCTCTGGGTCCAGGCATTGTGGCTCCCCAGCCTAATTCCTGGGAATGTGCCCGTGCTCAGGAGGGGAGCCCAGTGCTGTGACTCCACACAGGATCCTGTTTAAATGCCAGAAGCCTGAGTTGAAACCAATAACCAGAGAGGACCAGTGTGGGGGTGTGGAGCTGCTTGTGCTCCATTTCAAAGCTGGGAATTGGTTCCCCAGGAATTCTGGAAGCCAATGTCCTTCCTGCCCAGCGGGAAGGCAGCTGGGGAGGCTGGAGGTGCTTCCAGGGCCACCACAGGGGGTTTTCCCCCAGGGGAGTGGGCTGCCTCGTGTTCCCCTGTGCCAATTCCCCAGGAGGGATCATCAGGGGGTTCAGGGATTGAATGGAGCAGCAAAGCCATCCCTGCATGGACTCCACACTCGGTGCCTGTGGATTCCTGTTGGTGCTGGCGTGTCCTTGGCTGGGGGCAGCTGAGGGCTTTTCCACACGGAGCCAGGACCATCCTGGTGCTCAGAGCTGCTTCTCTGCTGTGACTCCAGGGTTTGGTGCTCTGGAGCTGCTCACTCCAAGCCTGGTTTTGGAAAACTCACATTGGTGGCAGCAGGTGGCAGGGGCACAGCAGGGAGGGACAACTGCCCAGCACTCGGATGCAAAAACCTCCAGGTTTTCAATTTTTTTTTAAGGATCTTTCCTATTTTTCCACATTGAAACCCCTAGAAAACCTTCCTTACCTCCATGCCATGTCAGGTAAATTAATAAATAATTATTAATTATTACACTCATATTTTGCTGAATATTTTGCTAAATATTGTGCCAGTTCCCCGTGTTCCCTATGGCTGAATGGCAGTTTAGGGAAACAGTCACTCCTGATAAGGCACCCAGCCAGAGCAGCACATACAGTTTCGGAAAAGGAGTAAAACACAGTGCAAAAACCTTTATTTTGGGGAAAATAAAACCCTTTTCCCAGAAGCCCTACTCAGTGACATATGGTGACACGGCATGTGCCAGCAAAGGTGCTCCAAATCGTGTCCCTCTGGCTCAGGAAAGGACTTGGAACAAAACCATTGTGTGGGGATGATATCACTGATGGAAGGAGCAGAAATCGTCTCCCTGCTTGGCCCGAGTGTTTGTTTGGTGGGAATCAGGAGGAGGAGTCGGAGTGAGCCTTGGAATCTCTCCTTCCCTCCTGGCACAGCCAGGCACTGTCCCCCTAAATGGGGAATGTTCCCTGCACGTGTGACAGCAAGAGGGCAGTGGGACACGGTGTCCCCACTGTCCCCAGGCTGCACAGCCTCACCTGGGGGCAGGGAGGTGCTCACCTGGGGGCAGGGAGGTGCTCACCTGGGGACAGGGAGGTGCTCCCTGCTGCAGGGGAGACAAGGATCCGCCCGTGCCTCTCCAAGAGGCGAAGTCAGGGTTGCAGCAGTGCTGCTGCAGGGGGATGGCAGAGGTCACCCTTGCAAAAAAACCTGGAAGGGGCCCACTCCAGCCACCTGGAGAGAGGCTTTTCAGGCAGATCAGCTGCTTTTCCACAGAGGTGGATGATTTTATCAGCCACACTCTTCCCTGCCACCCTCCAACTCCTCCAGTGCCTGACTTTGGCATCCGCACCTCAACCACCCCAACCCACCACGGAGTCCTGGCTCTTCCCACCAGGCTGGGACGCTGCAGCTGGAGCAGCTCTAGGAGAATTCCCATCTTTCCAGTGGCAGCAGTGAGAAAATGGCCTCATTTCCACCAAGAATTATGCAAAGCCTTTGAATGTAGGGCTTCACGCGCTCCCAGCAGCGCAGCCCCCGACGGCCCCGTTTTGGGGAGGCTGGCGCGCTCCGAGAGCTCGTTTGCCACCCTGATTAGTCAGCACTGCTAATTATAGCTGTGCTTTTCCTGCTTAGAGCTCCTCAAGCACCGTTGGAGTAACAGGGAACAAGGGAGGTGCTGGGATGAGGCTGGATCCGCTCGCTGCGGAAAAGACTCCGGGATAAATAAAATGTGGGGGAATGTTCCAGCAGCGTGGATTTGGGCCTGGCTCAGGGGTCACAAGGCAGTGAGGTCATGGATTTGTCACTCAGCCACAGGATGCTCCCACAGCAGTGGGAGCCGGGGTGGGAAAAGCTGCTGGGATGCCGGGAGGTGATGACGTTTTCCTAAAGAAAAGATGAAAAGTCGATTTGAATATTTGTGGAGGTAAAAATGATGGAGAATTGGAATTGTGGTTATTGCTCTGTACCACCAGTGTGCCCTTAAAGAGCAGCCCTTGTTCCAACTTTGGTTCCCAGTGGCTGTGCCTGTGGCAGCCACATCATTAGTGACTGCCACCCCAGTTTTAACTTGCCACCCACTTGTTTTAATCAGAAAAGAACAAATTCTAAGGGAGGATGAGCCCCAGGTCAGGCCCTGCTGTGGGCTGGGAGCACCCAGCACCCCCACAGGGCAGCACCACAGGAAAAGCTGCCTTGCTCAGCACTGAGCTTTCTCCCAAGGGCCAAAATCCAAGGAGGATGATGGGGAATGAAGGTGGGAGACTTTTTCCATGCTGAACAGCATTCCCAGGTGAGGCTGGTGGCCTCTTGCTCTGAAATTAGTGTCAGGCTTGTGTCTTTGCTTAGATCTTTGCTCCTCTCTGTCGAGTCTGTAATTTAACTACAGATAAAGCATATCTTGTATGTGAATATTACCAGAATGGTCTTGCAGCTACTCATGGAGCTCAGAACATTGAATACAACTTCAAAAAGTTGATTGTCAAGCCTTGAAAACAGGGTGTGCAGTGGCCCATCCTCTCATGTGGCTGCTCTGGGGACAGCAAGCCGTGGTTTCAAAGGGGCCAGGTAATGTCATTTTTGTCACCAGCAAATCTCAGCATTCTTGGGGTACCCCAGCTGTTTCTTTGCCAGTCCACTGCACCCCATTGCACAGGTGAAACCCCAAAAAACCTCATTGGAGACACGGGGCTGCTCTTCCCTGGGCAGGAGGACAAGCAGCTCCCAGCACCGGCTGAAATCCACTGGGATGTGTGTATGGAAAGGGGCACTTCTGCAGCCAAGAGGAGGAACACCTACCAGGGACTGGTGTTTCTGTAGGACACGGGGAAAACATTCCGGGATTGCGGCAAACCTGTGCTGGGATGTCGAGGTGGGAAGGGAGGGGCTGCTGCGGGAGTGCCGGGTGTTTGAGGGGCTCTCGGGGAGGGGCAGGAAGGGCGGGATGCTGGACGGAGCAGGAGGGCCGAGGCAGCTGCAGCGAGCCCACGGGGTTTGGGATCAGCCGGGACCCTCTGGAGTGTGCGTGTCCCTGCCTTGTCCCCAGGGGACAAGGGCCGGACGGGGTCTCTGGTGTGCGCTGCGTGCGCCCGTCCTCGCTCAGCCTTGCTGCCGGCCGCGGGCTGGGGACAGCGGGCTGGGGACAGCGGGGACATCCCTGCTCAGCCCTGCAGCGCTCCTGGCCCGTCCTGGGTGGGCTCTGACCCCGCAGACCTCCACGCACGGCCGGCGCATCCCCTTGCGGAGCGCTCCCGCAGCCCGCTCCTGGCCGCTGCCGAGGGGAGCCGGGCCGAGCTCCCGAGCCGCCTCCCCTTCCCCGGGCCGTGCGTAATTCCCGGGAGCGGGAGCGGATTCATTCAGCTCCTCGCTCGGGTTTCCTCCGCCCCTTCTGCCGCCGCTCGGCTCACGGGCTCGGTCACGCGGCGGCGGCCCCAGGTAGATGACGATTCCCGTCCCCGGGATGGGGCTTGGCCTCCTTAGCAACCCAGATGCTCCAAACTGGGGCGGCTGGGTTCAGCCAGAATCGCTGCTGTTCACCTAAATATCTCTGCGCGTCAGGAGCTGGAAATGCTTCCCGGCGCTGAGCTGGCTGCGCCGCAAAGCTCCAGCCTGGAAGAGAGAGGGGGATGAAAGAGGGAAGCTGGAGTGTTATGAAACCCGTAGGAAAAAGGGGAGAAAGGTGTAGCTGAAATCCTGTGGATCCAGGAGCTGAGCATCCCTGCTTTGACGATTCCGCTCCCAAGATGAATCACGGAGCCATTTATAGCTGGAAAAATAACCGTGTCTTTGGGATTTGTTCCTTTCCAGGCTGTTCCTTTCCCAAACAGTCGGGGAGGAAGCTCTGGGGATGGGTGGATACTGCGGTGAGGGGGACAGACCCCCATACTCAGCGTCCTTGGGCAGGTCCCGATTCCAGCGAGATCCTCCTCATCCCAGCTTTTCGCTGGCTGGAGGGAAGCCCGTGTGGGGCGAAGGCTCCGGGGTGCGGCGTTTCCCTGTGGAGGGACGCCCCTGGCCCGGGCTGGCCGCACCGACCCCGGAGCAGGGCCCGGTGCCGCCGTCCCGGACATTGTCCTTGAGCAGCGCGGCACCGGAGCCGCGCCGGGTCGCCGCCCTCCCTTCGCATCCGCGCGTCCCTCGGCACAAGCGGTAAAAATAAACCCTGCGAGGCGCCCGAGCCTGGCCGGTGCCCAAGCTGCATCCGCAGGACGCAGGTGCAGCGGGCCCGACCTTGGGGAGGTGCGTCGGGGTGGCGGGAGGCTGATGAATGAAGGACCGGCGGGGCGGGCGCGCACCCCCCGCGTGCCTGCGGGTGTGCAAGGGGATGTGGAGCGGGGAGCCAGCCTTGTTGTTATTCTGATCACAGCGGCTCTGATTCACAGACTTGGATCATGAATATAAGTGAAGACTTTGACGTCAGAGTTGAGATTTATCAGCAGATCCAATGGGGCAGGAATATTAAGTGCAAGTCGATGCCAGCTCTCTGCCAACGCTATTAGCGATGCTCGCCGAGGAATGAGGCTTCGCACCAAGGGCTGGAAGGACCGGCAAGGAAAAAAATAAAAACGGGGTGGGGGGAGCAAGCTGATCCTCGAGCATTAAAACCAGGTAAAACAACAACCCCCGGCGTCGCGGCTGCGTGCGGGAAGGGGCGATGGTGGCGGCGGGGGATGGCAGCGGGCTGCGGGCACAGCCCCGACCTTCACACCTCGGCTGGCCGGGGGCATTTACTCCGCCGGGCAGGGCGGGATGTTGCCGCCGGCCGCGAGCATCTCGCACCAGCCTTTTCCAAAGGAGGGAAAGGCAGGGAGGAAGGAGAAACTTAACGTAGGCTGTTCCTTGCCGCTGCCTGCTCCTTCCATCAGCGGCTCCGCATACAGGCGCTGGCCTATTAATAGTGTTTATTTTTACTCACTGCGCGCAAAAAAGAAAGGGCTGCGGGAGGGGGGGCTGAGGGGGTGCGCTATAAATAGGTAGCAAAGGTGGCCGTGCCCCGGGGAGGGGAGGAGGAGGAGGGGGCGGCCGGTTCCTCACCGGGTGCGCAGTGGCTGCGGACCCCGCACGGAGCCGAGCGCACGGAGGCGGCTGCGGGCAGCGGGGCGATGAGTTGTGCTCGGCCTCAGCCCGGCGGGAGATAGCGGCCAGGGTGCGTGTGGGGCGAGCCGGGGATGGGGGGGGCTCCATCCCAGGGAAGCTGCAGTCGGGCTGCGGGAGGGCGGGCGGGGATGCGGCGGGCGGGGGCGGCCCGGTGCGGGGCGCGGTGTCCCGGGGCGGGGGGCTCCGGAACGCGGGGCGGGCTCGGTGAGGTTCTCCCCCGGCTCGGTTCGAGGCGCGGGCTCGGCGCGGCGCCGCGCGGGCCGAGCGCGGGGCTCGGCGGCTCTCGGGGGGCTCGGGGTCCGTCCCTCACCGCCCCCTTCTCCCTCTCTCCCCAGCGATGCTGCACGGCCCCGCCGCCATGGGGGAGCCGTGGCCGCCGCAGCCGCAGCAGCAGCAGCGGCTCCCGGGGCTCGGCAACGCCTCGGAGCCCCCGGCCTGGCCCTCGGCGGCGGCGGCCGGGCCGGGCACGGCGGCGCCGGGCGGCGGGGCCGCGGCCGCGGGGTCCGTGAGCCCCTGGGACATCGCGCTGTGCGCCACGGGCACGGCGGTGGCGGGGGAGAACGCGCTGGTGCTGGCCGTGCTGTTCTACACGCCGAGCCTGCGGGCGCCCATGTTCCTGCTGATCGGCAGCCTGGCGCTGGCCGACCTGCTGGCCGGGCTGGGGCTGGTGGCCAACTTCGCCGTGCGCTACCTGCTGCGGCCGCCCAGCGAGGCGGCGGAGCTGGCGGCGGCGGGGCTGCTGCTGGCCGCCTTCTCCGCCTCCGTCTGCAGCCTCCTGGCCATCACCGTGGACCGCTACCTGTCGCTGTACAACGCGCTCACCTACCACAGCGAGCGCACGCTGGGCTTCACCTGCGCCATGGTGCTGCTGATGTGGCTGCTGTGCCTGGGCGTGGGGCTGCTGCCCCTCCTGGGCTGGAACTGCCTGCGGGACCAGAGCTCCTGCAGCATCCTGCGGCCCGTCACCAAGGACAACGCGGCTGTGCTGGCCGTCACCTTCCTGCTGCTCTTCGCCCTCATGATGCAGCTCTACCTGCAGATCTGCAAGATCGCCTTCCGGCACGCCCAGCAGATCGCCGTGCAGCATCAGTTCATCGCCACGGCGCAGGCCAGCTCCACCCGCAAAGGGCTCTCCACGCTGTCGCTCATCCTCGGCACCTTCGCCCTGTGCTGGATCCCCTTCGCCATCTACTCGCTGGTGGCCGATTCCAGCTACCCCGCGGTGTACACCTACTCGCTGGCGCTGCCCGCCACCTGCAACTCGCTCATCAACCCCATCATTTACGCCTTCAGGAACCCGGACATCCAGAAGTCGCTCTGGCTGGCCTGCTGCGGGTGCATCCCTTCCACGTTCTCCTCCAGACCAAGGACATCCAGCGACGTGTGAGGACTGAGCACGGAGCCAGAGGTGCTCCCTGGCTCTCCTGCTCCTTCTCTTGTTCCCCTCTGTCGTTATTGTCTCCTGCCGGGAGGAGTCCCCTCCCCGGTCAGCACATCTCGTTCCATGGAAAGATGGCCAAAAAGAGGGAAAAAAAAAAAAAAAAAAGCAAAAGAGAAAAGGAAAGAGAGAGAGAGCGTAGAATGATAATGGTTTCCTTTAGAAATGTTATTTTCTTACATATTTTATTTTTTATTTAAAAACACAAAACACCAAAAAAAAAAAAAAAAAAAAAAAAAAAAAAAAAAAAAAAAAAAAAAAAAAAAAAAAAAAAAAAAAGAGAGAGAGAGGAAAACAAAAAAAAAGAAAAAGCAAAGAAAAAGGATCCTCGCACGATGGCGTTTGTCTGCTCCCGGGGTAAGGAGCCGGGGGAGCAGCGGGCCCCATCCGGGTGGTCCCACGCCTCGGGGCACATCCCATGGGAAGGCCGGGGGGGCGGGGAGGGAGATGTCGCGTCCCCCCGGCGGGGCTGGTCCCCACGCGTGGGGTGGCTGTGCGCCCACCCCTGAAATCAGGGCCTGCGATGCTATGCAATACCGGGGGCCGCGTTCAGCGCCGCGGGCAGGAGAGCTCCGGCAGGAGGGACGCGCCGCCGGGCCCGTCTCTGCGCTTCCAGAAGCGCTTTGAGAACCTGCGGCTGAAAGACGCTTTAGGTGTGGCTTGTTCGGGCTGTGGCAGGGATGGGGGCGTCCAGGGAATCCGTTCCTTCTCCCCCCCCCTTCTCCGACACCCCAAAATGTGACGGTGTGGGGGTGGTGAGGGCAGCTGGGGCGCCCTGCACCCCGAAATCTGGGAGGCCAAGGAAGGGCTCTCCTTGTCCAGCTGGGCAATGGGGTGCTGCTTCCCCCCTTCCACACGAGTTGTTTACATGGGGTGGGGTTTTCATCCAAAGAGGGGTCCGGGCTTGCTGGAGTCCCCGAGAGAGAAGCCTCTGTCTCCACACGTGTCACTGCTGATGCTGCCACTTTACCTTGCTTCGTTAGAGAAGCGCCAGCCCCGACATTCCTGTGCCGTGTGATGTGCTTTGTGGTGTTCGTGAGGCCATGATGAAGTGTCCTTTAGCCTGTGCTTTCTTTTGGAATCGTGCATTCACCGTTAAAACAAGGAAGAACCCAAGCAAGCCCCGGGGGGGTGGCAGGGCTGGGGGTGGGACATGCAGGGTGGCTCAGGGCACAGGGGGTGTGCTGCCCGGGGTTCTGGCATGGGGGGCTTGGGAGACCCTCCAGCAGCTGAGTCTGGTGCCCAAATATTCCGCTTTGCTGTAGAGAAATTGTGATGTTGGAGAGGGACTTGGGCAAGGGTGTGCAGTGACAGGACAAGGAATGATTTCCCACTGCCAGGGGGCAGGGATGGGTGGGACATTGGGAATTGGGAATTGTTCCCTAGGAGGGTGGGCAGGCCTGGCACAGGGTGTCCAGAGCAACTGGGGCTGCCCCTGGGTCCCTGGCAGTGCCCAAGGCCAGGCTGGGCACTGGGGTTGGAGCAGCCTGGGATGCTCCAAGGAAAGGTGACCCTGCCATGGCAGGGTGGCACTGGATGGGCTTTGAGGTCCCTCCCAACCTGTGACATTTTGTGAGTCTGTGACAGTGGAAGAAGTGTTCTTGCTTTGTGTGGCTGCAGAGGGTACAAAGTCCCGTTATGGCTGGATACAGACAGATCCAGGTGGATTTTGTCCCTGGATCTGTGCGAGGAAGTTCTCGCTCCTCGGAGCTCAGTGCACAAGAGAAAGCTCTGAGGTTCCCAAGTGTGCCTGGGGCTTGGACTTCCTGTCTACCTGTGAGAGGTGGCCACTCTTGGAGTTTTTATGTTTTTTGGGTTTGGGGTTTTTCCCCATTTCCTTTCTCTGATGAATACCTTGGAGAATGGGCAGTTGGCACAATGTGGAATCAATGTAAGTTTTAAAGTAAATATATATGTAAGACTAATATTTATACAAACACTTCACTCATTCTGTTTCCTCTGGTTCCTTAAGTGCAGCCAGGTCTCTGCAGCTCCTCAGTGTGAAAACTCAATAGCTTAAACCCTTTTTGAAACATTGTGAACATTTGAAATGTTTTTATACAACCACCCTAGCTAGAAGTCAGGATTTGTTTCTCTGGGCAGCTCATTTTGTATCTTTAGATGAAAGGTAGTTGAACTAATCAGCTCCAGAGAAACCTTGACATGAAAAAAAAGTTGCATTTTCTTGGCTTTCCAGTAAATTCCCTGTTGCTGAAGAGCTTGATTTTAACAATGTTCTTTTTCGAGTTTAGTTGCTTACTTAAAATGCATCTCAGTTTGAGGGATACACTGATAAATTTCACCAAAGTCAAATGAGGATCAATGAAAAATTTCTCCCTGTGGCCCCCCACAGCAAGAGGAGAAAGATTTGGGATGTGAGGAGCTAAAGCTGGGGACACAGCCCCTGCCAGGCTGGGGTTAAGAGCAGGTGGGGGTGTCCTCGCTGGGACGCTGGGTGCTCACCCAAACTCATTTCCAGCCACTTTGGCAAAGGCAAACTCTGAATTCTGGTCCCTGGGTGCACTGCCCCAGCTCACAGTCAGGATGTGGTACAAGCCTATCCCTTCCTCAGAGTTACTGTAAAATAAGGATTTCTTTTCCAGTGATGGTCTAGCACCTCTCTCTGAGACGTTAGAGCTGCCCATGGAAGTTGTTAAAAACACTTTTTTTAGGAAAAGTCTCAAGAAATCTCCTCTTAAAAAACCCCCATTTTGATAAAATGGCATTTTGCAGTCATTGCCCTAAATAAAAATAGTGCAATTTCCAGGTGGTTTTTTGCATGTTTTCCCTCTCCTGCTTTGTCAGAGGAAAGGTGGGGAAATCAGGGGAAGTGAAGATGAGGATAAAGAGGTTTAGGTTCACCTGCCGTGCGTTGCCTTGTGGAAACCTCTGCCCATTTTACTGCACCTTTGCTGCAGTGCCTTGGCTTTGTTTTAGTTTTGTTTTCCATAGAGAAAAATATTCACTGGGAAAGTTTGGAGTGGCAATGTTGGACATCAGGGGTGGATTTTGGAGCCTCCTTGTGCTGATCAGCAGGAAAGTTAATTTACCACCTTGAATCACGTGCTGAGGCAGGGGTGCTGTG